TTAATGTAAGTTTCTAATGAACTATTTGCTCTTGCCCTGTCTTAGCAAGAATTATTGTTTTAAAGCAAAATATATAGTTTTATGTGTATGTTTAATGATTAAAATGTAGATAGATTGCTTTATATCACCAGTTGTGTAGCAAAATGCTCAAAGCTTAAACATTAGTAAGATAGTTTTCAGGAAGCTGTATAGCTATGAAACAGTAAACATAACTTTTGTTTAAAAGGCATGATTATGGTCTGAACCAAAAAGTATTTTCAGGTTATTAGATCCTGCTGGTTGTGGCTTCAGTGTATGGTTGCAATATGTTTTACGGCAAAGAAGCATTTAAAACTAAATAAACACAACTTAGGTGTGAAACTGAGGAAGGGCTCAGAACCAGCGGTTCTCAACCTTCCTAATGCCGTGACCCCTTAATACAGTTCCTCATATTGTGGTGACCCCCAACCATAAAATTATTTTTGTTGCTACTCTATAACTGTAATTTTGCTACTGTTATGAATTGTAATGTAAATATCTTTTTGTTTTCCGATGGTCTTAGGTGACCCCTGTGAAAGGGTCGTTCGACCCCCAAAGGGGTCGCGACCCACAAGTTGAGAACTGCTGCCTGTGATTTCTTCTCTGTTTGTGGTATTAACTCTGGGAAACTAGCTGACGAAAATGCTTGTGTTGCTAACTCATAGTTTCATGTGCTATGATTTGCCCATCCTTTATCTTCAACTGGTATAGAAGTCAGTTTTGGGGAACATTTTGAATCATGAATTCAGTCACCCTGGTAGGCAAAATTTCTAATCAATGGTTATTAAATGAAAACAAAACTCAGAAATTATTTCTAAAAATACTTGTTTCTGGATGTCCAAAGAAGCCCTTGAACTCAAACTGTTTTAGAGGTTTGCTCCTATTTTGTTCCTTAAAATAAAACTTGTACATGTCTATGTATAAGAGACAGGGAAATGACTCTGTTTTTGCACTGCACGGATATACCCACAATGAAGCTTTTCACCTGTCATTTGCACGTGTGATAGATTTTGAACTCGAGGGCTCTTTATATGTGTCAGCTATCTTGAACTGAGCCCCATTATGAAAAGGAGGACTGAGGGAAATGAAACAAATGATGCTTCCTTTCACTCAGCTCATCTGCCCCAAGGTGGTTTTGGGCTTATGAGTCACATAGTTTCAGTTACTTTTTTCATATTTTAAGATTGCCATCTCTGCATAAGTAAAAATTCATGTTCGTTATTTTTTTCCCTTAGATTCGTTACCTTCACATTTGACTTTTAAGTCCTTGTAGTTTTGTAATAATATACTTGGTCACATTTCTGTCCCCCTCATCTTATGGCATAACTTTTCTATGACCTTTCTTTCCTCTATATTAAGAACGAATTCCTTATTATAAAATTATGTTTTTGATTCTTATTAAAGAAATATTAAAACAATCTGATTTACTTTTATACTGTACTATTATATAGAAATTAAAGTAGTTAGAAAGATTAGTATAAGGCTGTATTAATACTTATAATTTCTATTCAATATTTATGAAGTGCCAAGGAATATTTTGAATATGGAGAAACACCAAAAAATGGCCTGCCATGCTCCTGGGGTTTACATCCTGAAAACAGAATATAAACAAGTACTTAAAACTAATTGTAAAAGCATGTAGTATTTATTTCCTTCAGTCCATATTTACCATGTTTAATTATAGCAACGTTAATGTCTGTAGCCAGGAAATGCTTACAGCATAACTTGTAGAGTAAAACTTTGGATTGCAAGTAACTTGGTTTGCAAGTGTTCTGCAAGATGAGCAAACATCTTTATGGCTTATGGTGAATCACTCCATTCTGGCTTCTTTGTTGCTAATACAGTAATACCTTTGTTTGCGAGCATAATTCGTTCCGGAAACAAACTAAATCGTATTGCAAGACATCGCTCGTTTACCGTGTTAAAATGTATTAGAAATGTTTGCTCGTCTTGCAGAACACTCGCAAACCACATTACTCGCAATCCAAGGTTGTACTGTAATTGCAAACTTCTCTGGCCCTCAGATTGTGGTCCTCAGGTCGAGATACTATGAGTTCCGAGAAACTGCCTTGTAACATTGCTGTGGTCACTGTGGGATATAAAATCAACCTAAGGGATCTTGACCAGCATTTTTTAAAAAATATGAAATAGTGTTAAATAGAATGGAGAGTAATGTCTCAGAGTGCTTCGTGTGTGTTAGGTTTCAAGATACCTATTTTGTGTGTATAGGATGTTAATGAAAAATTAATTTATTGTGGGTCGTAAAATTTTGGAGCATCATTCCTCTGAGGCATACTTTGATTGCTGCTGTACTGAATATTACATATTCACAAATATGGTACATATGTCTAAACCAAGTATTAATCACAGAAAACTAATTATCAACGAGACATAAGTGGTATTGGAATATTCCTAGTGAGTAAAATGGTGAAACATATCGCTTTACTTTTTCCCATCATAAACACAGTATCAATAAATATAAACCCACTTACATATGGGTGGGTGACTTTCTTCCTCAATTCTGAATTGACTATGAGGAGCCAGTTTTGAATTTGGTGTTAATAGAATGCCTTAGTGGTTTGGTAACTGTCTTTCTCTAAATTTTGGGTTGACTAGAAATCATCAGATTTAAACTTGGGGTCATATCTTAATTCTTCAGAATCTTGGCTTCTTTCAAAAGTAAAAATGTAGTATTTAGGCCTAATTTGTTGTGGATTACCAAAAAGTGGCACTCATAATCTCCTTAAAGTATTTAAATAAAATGATTGAGTGTAAAATTAAAAATATTACATATTTAACTATTCCTATAATCTTTAAATTTTAGTGACACCTGATGTTCAACCTCATCAGATATCCATGAAGATGTATCAAAAGAAGTCAAATTGTACCTGAGATTAAGATTATAATTTTGACAAAAATGCAGATTTTTTTTTCTTGGTTAGTCTGTTACTCTATCATTGGTTTATTGAAAGCTTCTTTGAAGCTTTGTGGTTTTTCAAGTTTTGTAGAAGCTTCACTTGAATACATTTGCTTGAAATTCTTCAGGCGTACAGTCAACATGTCCAATAACTTTTATACAATGGACATATTTGGAATGCTATTTTGCCACAAGAGCCTGGAAACTTGAGCAGCACTCACTGTCATGCTTTTAAAGGCAAAATATGCCAGAGTTGGTGCTGTGCAGTCAGGGCAGTGTATCGCTGGCTCTTTTATTGGTTGTAGACATAGGGACTCTTACAGAACAGACGTACAGTTTAGAAACAGCAAATAACCTTAAATGCCATTCAAATGTACTTCCAACCTGCAGGTCCCATACAATGAATGTTAGCACATATTTTTAAATATTGTGTGCCATCAGCTGGGTCTCTTTCTCCCTGAGATTTCCCCTTTCCTGAGTGCTTTCTCATAGTGAGATGCAAACTTATCGGAACATCAACCTTTTGACTATTTCATATTTTTCATACTATTTCATATATTTTTTTTAATGCTGATCAAAATGCTGGTGGTGTAGCATTGAGGGAGAGGAAAGAGGAGAAAAAAGAGATAAAAATAACATATAATCAGTTCTCAAAGCAGTAGGACTCGACTGATTAGAAATCTCATTAAAAAGTTATCACATTACTTGAATTAAAATATTCCAATTGAAATGTGTTAGGAATGCAGACCGAAGCCAAATATTGTGTAATAGGTGCCTTTACCTCGCAGAGTAGGGGCATGCAATGGATGGGAACCCCATGTGTTAGACCTCTTTCTTTTCAGGAAGGAATGGTAGAAAATTGGTTCACTTCCTCCTTCGTGTATCTAATAAGTACAAGGCCCAGGGCTAAACACTGTGAAGAATAAAAATTATCTATGACTGGGTTATAGGCATTCAAATGGCTTAAATCTAGTAGGACACATGCAAAAATACACAGTGTAGGGCAGTGTTTGGGAAGGACTCCATGTGGTGGTACAGACTGCTGTAGAGGACTATATTATTATTTTATTATTATTAGTTTCAGGTGTACAAAACAATGTCATAGTTAGACATTTACACTCCTTGCAAAGTGATAACCCCCCACAGGATTGCCACGGGGACACAAAGGACAGTTTTGGGAATGTAATCAATAATGTTGTAAAGATTTTGTAGGGTATCAAATGGGCACTTGTCTTATTAGGGAGGACTATATTATTGTATGGGTCTTTTGGAATAGAGAAGTCAGGGTAGGCAAATTGGAGTGACTTGAGCCAGGGCTTGAAGAATTGGTAGGTGTCTTATAAGAAATATTATAGGACATTGACACCTTAGACCATAAGAGTTAGTGCTAAAAAGTAGTTTACAAAGTTACCTTCTGAAAATTAATAATGTCATCGCAAAATAATAGGAGACAAAATGTCTTGAACGCCTACTTTTCTGGTAATAGCCACTCAAAGAGCTTATTATTATATCTTTAAAACAAAAAGTTCTCAACAAAAGGTAGTCTAATATAGGAAATGGTGTATTGTGTGGATCCAGCACTTTCCAGAGAAAGAGAGAAATTCCAGGAACTTGAACTTCTTGGTCATTAAAGAAGTGTCCTCTGCTGTAGGGTGGAGATTCTTCATTGGGGTATACCTCAGCTGGAGCGAAAAATTCTTTCAGTTACTTTCTTGCCATTGTCTACAGACTATAATGATTAAGAGTATGGCCTCAGGATCATAACTCATCCAAGTTGCCATTTCTAAACTTGCTAGCTGAATGACTCTTGACAAGGTATGCTACTTGGTGTCTTCGGTAGTATGACGGGACTAAAATTACCTGTCTGCTAAGGCAATCGAGAGAATTGAATAAAAGTATTGGTCTGAAGAGTTTTACTCAGGGCCTGGTACGTGACACTCAACAAGGCTGCGAATGTGATCTGTAATTTTATACTCACCAAGGAGCCTTAATCACTAATATCTAGCTATCTGAACCATCTGAGCAGGTGGGCAAAGCAGATGCTGAAGCATTCCAGGAACTAGAGGAGATATCCCCGTCATCAATTAATACTTCCCAGCATTCTCAAATGACGCTGGCTAACATCAGTCCATCGAGAACCTAATCGTTCCTGGGGGATTTGGAAAAGCGCCGTTTCTGTACCTGCAGAAAGGCTACAGACCTGCAGAGTAAACCTAGCGGCGGTTAATGCTGACCTGGGAGACTTCTTGGGACTAATAACAGACAGCTTTCATTGAGCATTTACCGTAGGCCAAGCATTCTGCTAAGTGCTTTACCGGCCGTGTTGTCTAAGCCTCAAAAATGACTTTTCAAGGTAGGTATTAAAAGTTCTTCCCTTTTACAAATGTGAAAATTGAAGCTTGGAGATGCTAGGTCACTTCCGGAGGTCACACGCAGTTCATTGAATGGCCAGAATTTGAGCCTGGGTCGGCCTCTGCTCTCAGCCATCATGCTGTGCTGAACAAGACGTGAATCAGGAAGACCTAGTTTCAGATCCAGCTCCACTCTTTCCAGGAAAATGATCTTAAACCAGTTGTTTTTGCATCTCTGAGCCTCAGATTCTTCATCTAAAACACAGAATGAACATGTCCCATGTAGGCTTGTTTGGAAGATTAGAAATAAGGTGTGTGAAGTGCCTGGCACAGTATTTAACACATGATAGAGACCCAGCAAGAGATGGTAGCTATTGTTTGGGGCTGTCGAGACTGCTTTCTACTTCCCACCATCCCCCTTGGCATGTGACCTCTGTGTCTCTTTCAAGTAAAAGTAAAACCTTTATACATTCAACTGCAAATACATGTCAGAATGCGACTTAACTATTTAAATTAGAAAACAGCCGAGACTGTTACCAGTTTTAAGGGCCGACGTTTGTCCTACATAGCCACATAAATTTCTTTTCAATGTTTTTATTGTAATAAAACGTGTATAACACAAAATATTCCATTTCAACCACTTTTAAGTGTACAATTCAGTGACATTAATTACATTCACACTATCGTGCAGCCATCACCACTATCTATCTGTTCCCAAATCTCTCCTATCACCCTAAACAAAATTTCTGAAACCATTAAGCAGTAACTCCCTTTTCCCCCCCGCCCTCAGCCCCTGGCACCCTCCAATCCACTCTCTATGAATTTGCCTGTTCTTGGTATTTTAGGTAGATGGACTCAGGCCTCATTTTTCTTTTGTGTCTTGGCTTATTTCACTTTAGCATAATGTTTTCAAGACGCATTCATGTTGTGGCACGTATCTAAACCATTTATTTTTATGGTTGAATAATATTATTAACAATATGTATGATTATACCACGTTTTGTTTTTCTGTTCATTCATTAATGGACTTTTGGTTGTTTCCACTGTTTCAGCCACATAACACTTTAAAAATCATTTGAGTTTGAATTCTCTCATGACAGTGATCTTGAAGACACTCCATTAAAATAATAACTATTCTTATATTTAAAAGTATACTCTGTTTAGAATTTCTTTGAGGTCTACAGTAAGTTATTCTAGTCAGATTAAATCATTTTACTTTTATATATTACATACCTATCAGTGGAGATAAGCAGTATATATTTTAAGGAAAATGGTACCAGCCAGATTTAGATATTTTTATATTTGCTAAGCAGTACTTTAATGTCTGAATCAAATAAAATATTCCAGTTGCAAAATATGTTGCAAAATATAATGTGCTTTTCGAGGGGATAAAACATGACTGATAAAGGACTTAAAATCCACTTTGGATCTTTAAAATGTTAGCATGATCCTTGGAACAGATTTAAATTTCCCAGGTCTAAATCATGGCCCTCTTTTTTTTTTTTTTTAATCGTATAAAAGGAATTTGCTAACAATTCTAAGGTACTTTTCCAGGGTTTATTCTCAGGAAGTAAAAGATGTCATGAGAATATAGTGTAAATATATGCTACCTGAATTTCCCTCACATGCCTTTTTCCTATTTATTTTAAAAGTATATTTAAATGTTTTCATTTGCAAATACACTACTGTTTGGCCAGGCAAAGACTTAATACAACTAACTTTTACTTGTCTGGTTAAATGTCCAGGGATAAGATGACTGATTGATTTTAGCAGATAACCTTGTTTAACCAGTAATTTCTTTCATTAAGGCTGCGATCCCAACATGATGCACATTAGAACCAGTAGACAGCTGAAAAATACCTGTCATTACCTGGGCTCAGATCCTCAGATTCTGATATAATAGGTGTAGGTCAGAATTTGACAAGCTCCACAGCTAATGAACATGCAGCTATTGTAGTCAGGTGCAAACCAGTGAAGTCAAAAGAGAACTAGGTGAGGTGAGACGGGGTGGGGTTGTGAGTGGGGACCAGGGAGCTTCAGTCATTTCTCTTCCTTCCCTAGTTACAGTCAAACAACCCAAGAGAAGCAGAAAATACAAGATCACTGAGGGGTGACCAGTTAGCTCAGTTGGTTAGAACATGCTGATAACACCAAGGTTTCTGGTTCAATCCCCGCATGGGCCACTGTGAGCTGCGCCCTCCCTAACAGAGTCAACTATGCCATTGTAGCATGAACGCAATATGTGACCAATGACCATGGCTGTTCCCCAATAAAGTTAAAAACAAAAAACAAAAAACAGTAACAATCCAGAATTTAGAAAATGAAGTAGCTTTTCTCTTTTTGTCATTGTAGACATGGAAGGACTTGAATGAAACTTAAATGGTTCAACAAAAGATGCTCTAATGGATGACAGTGAAACTCCTACATATAATCCGCAGATCCAACCACAAGATGGGTGTCATCCTGGTGACAGCGTGGAAAGTATAGTAACATGCTTGCCCTCCACATCAGACGAAAACGAAAATCAGCTTGACGGGGATGGGCCTGAGCGTCTGACCAGCAGTGACCGTGCCATGGGCAAGCCCCAAGTGTCCGAGCAGGACAGTCTCAACAATAATGAAAGCTGCACACCGAGCTGCGAGGCGGCCACAGATGAGAACGTGGGCAACACTCCTTGTGCAGACCCCAGAGATGGACAGGACCTCCTGGGAAAGGACAGAAGAATACCTGGGAAAAGGAGTTGTAGAAGCAAAAGAGGTATCGCTAAGAAGATGCTACAAGGTATTTTTTAAAAATTACTATTTCTACTGTTCCTCAAAAATAAATCATCTTCCCACCCCACACTGTTTATTCTATCCCACATCTTGCTTTTCTTAATATGTTCCGGAGCTGGTTCTACACTCGCACATACAGGTTCCACTATGTGGAATGCCACCTATGTCATATGTCTCCACAATGTTCCACCATACGGATGTACCATCATTGATTTGTCCACTTCTTTATGGTTCATCCCAGTGTTTTGCTATAATAAATGCTAAAATTGACGTTCTTTGTACATGTTTTCACACTAGGTGTTTTAAATGTATGTATAGCCCTGTCTTTATAAATTAGAACATTTTCTACCATTATCAGCCTGAAAATTTTCCTTCTGTCATCACTGTCGCTTTGCTCTCTAACCTATGAGCTTCTGTGCTACTATTATACAATCTTACTCAACCTGTTTATAGAAGCTTTCCATCTCACTCAGTAGGTGAATACTGTACATTAACGTATGTTAATATACATCTTACACGGGTGTGAATGGGACATCTAGCTTTAATAATCTATAATCACTTTGGTTACAAAGTAATTTAGGGTATTTGTTATTGGGTGTGTGGTTTGGCAGTTAAAGTTGGGCGCTGTGGGCTTTTGGCCTGAATCATAGGACAGCCTGGTTATTTTTTATCAGAAGCGTGGGATTGGAGAGTTCTGGCACAGCCCAGACTGGACTCTGGTTAGCACCACTTCACCCCGCTGCACAGAAGGCTCTAGCGGATGAGGTGCAGTGCCTCCTCTTCTCTGCTCTCTTCCGCTTCTTTGTCTGATTACAAATATTGTCAGTCTACCCATATCCTGTTTTTTATTTGTATTTTTTATTTGGAGTAAAAGATGAAACTTTCCAGTTTCTACAAATCAGTCATTCTTGATTCTGTAAGGTAATTGGGTAACTTTTAAATGTAACTCATAATTTGACTTTCCAGTTGGCTGATCCCGTTGTCTTTGCTTTCCCCTAGTGGACTTAAAGCAAATTAAAATATTTTTGACAAGAGATATGAAAACATTTTCTTAGAAGACCTAGGGATAAGCAGATGACATATGCAGTATTATTAGTATATAAATTGATTTGTTCCGTATAATTCAAGGGCAGTTTGACTGTGTCTCTCTAATCTGATCTTGTGGCATTTTTAAGAACTGAGACCTAGTTGCATGTGTATAAAGGTCAGTCATAGCTTCAGAATTACAGCTCCTTTTACTTTTTCTTTCCATGACCTTATTGCAGTTTCCATTGGTGTGACTATATAATTTAAAGCTGTTTAGTACTTATTATCCAGTGAGCAGATACATGTAGAATTACTATTCCCTAATTCAATTGAAACCTGATTTATAAAACTTAGGGATAGCCTTTATACAGATTATCTTTTAAATTTATTTTGTATCTTATATAAAATGGGTTTAAGAGTATAAGAAAACTGAATTAAGAGTGTAAAACCTAAGTTCAAATCTTACTTCTGGTTCTAGCTTACTTCCTGTGACATAATGATTCTGTACTTCAGTTTCCTCATCTGTATAATGATGATGTTCATCTACACATACCTATCAAATTCCTTTCTGAGAGTGAGTTTCTTAGATTTCTGAACAGAAATGGTGTAGCCGAAACTCGATTAATTAAAACTTGGTGATTCACCTCTAGTGTATCTCTAGAGTTTTTACATGTCAGGAGTACATTTTTATTTGTACTTTACGTTTTGTTAAATTAAAAGATGGTAAATTTGGGTGGGCAAAAGAATTTTAAACTGGGGCCGGCCGAGTGGTGCATTGGTTAAAAGCTGGCTTGGGACGCCAGAGGGCCCTGGTTCGGATCCCACATATGAGGGCCAGTGACACTGCCCTCTACAGCTAAGATGGTGAACAACAGCTCA